AAGACAACTAACCCCATCCAACAAGATATTTGATGTCTTGAAGTCGCGGTAAATGATTGGTCTCTCTGCACCATGAAGAAAAGCAAGCCCTTTTGCGGCATCTAAAGCAATCTTCATTCTTCTTGACCATGTAAGCGTACAGCCCACTCCTACGACCCAAAACAAAAGAAATGATTACGGCATTAAGCAAATGAGGCACAATGTTCTATCAATGGTATTCAAAATTGAACACAATATCCTGTAAGTTCTTCATGTGTCAACAGTATCAAATAGAACACCCAATTGAATATTTATAATACAGTAATTTCGAGATATCTTAGCAGTTGGTGGATCAATGTGCAGTTTGGAGAAGATCAATATTTTCAATACACTTCCTGCAGCATACTTGGTATAAGCAATGCTCCATAACATTCCAGATGTTGAACAACTGGAAACGTTTCCGGTCACAAAACACTTGTTCACATCTGATAAATGTCATTTCAATGCTAACATAAAAAAAAGTGTCAATCTCTATTCACAGGTTTTAAGTTTCCAAGTATTTTGAAGTGAAACAAATATGTAAAATGAAGAATATAAGAAGAAAATAAGTATTAGCATAAAAGAAGATTGGAGCTTTGGTCCCTGAACTAAAAATCCATGACTATTGGTCCCTGAACTTGTTACAATGTGAAGCAATGGTCCTTTTGGCTAACTCCATAAGAAAGGGTTTTGAAAGGACAAAAAATGTAGATGTTCTAACGAAGTTAGTTAAAAGGATCATTGCTCCACATTATTACGAAGGGAGCAAGACTCACAAACTTTTAGTTTAGGGACAAAAGCTCCAAAGTTGGACTAAAGTTCAAGGACCATTGCTCCAATTACCTCCTTAGCATAAAGATAAGAAGAAAATGATACGAGTCAAACTCAACAATTGACTTTTAACATTATTAAGAGCATGAAAGACATTTGATTCTAGAAGCCCACCTAAAAGAGTGGGAAAGCCAATGAAAGATAGAATAAAGACTACCCAAAAAGGAAAGACAAGAATTCAAGAAATACTAAAAGGTGGTACATGATATGTTGAAGCATAGGGATTAGGGATGACAACTGAGAAATAGATGGCATAAGACATCATTTCCTCAACATCCCACGAAATTTTGATGGCATAAGACACTTACTGCGAAATAGATGTTTTTCCAGGCTGCCACTTGCCATGTATTCATAGACCAGTAGCCGGTGGTCATCCTCACAGCAGTACCCAATCAGCTTCACAAGATTAGGGTTACTCAGCTGTCCCAGATAGTTAACTTCTGCCTGCAAGACCAACAATCTATGAAAAAGGACCAAATTTTTTTTTTTTAATTTTTTTTATGCATATAAAAAATGTTAATAGAAATCAGATGATAAAGTCTCTCAGTGGTTTCCAACTTTCCAGTCCACTGAACTAGGAATTGTTGAGAGAATGATACCTGTTTAAGTGAGAAATATCATCTATTGTATTAATTTCTAAAGCCAATTCACAGGCCATGACTTTTCATATTTTTCTTTCCTTGAGAAGATCCTTGCAATACAAATTTAAAATCAACTTCTCTCGCTTATATCTATCTTTAACTTTTCCCCAAATAGCCAATTCACTATTAAGAAAAACACGCAACACGCCATACATGTTTCATTTTTTTGCTCCAAAAATAACTTTTGGGAATAACCAATTCTAAAACATGCTAGACTAAATTCATTCCGATAGGAAAAGTGTGTACTATCCTACCATGACCACAAAATGAGAAGTGGAAAGGAAATGGGGACTGCTTGGGAGAATGTTAATGTGCACTGCAACTTGTATGAATGATATGGAAACCACGTATAAAACCTTTGACTTGCACCACTTCAAAAATTGACTACAGTAAAGACTCATTTCTCAGAAATTAAATAAGATAAAAGGGTAAGAGAAGTCAAATACCAGCCATTCCCTATCACCTTGGTACCCTTCTCGATTAAGCTCCTTGATGGCAACTTGCGTGGTCTTGTATCCAGCCCTCACGGTGTCATCAATAACTCCTTTGTATACAACTCCAAACCCACCCTCACCAAGAATTAGATCTGGCCTGAAACGTTTTGTGGCCAAACTCATCTCATCATAAGTAAAGATGCTGACATTGATATATCCGGGGCTTTGGCGAAGGTCTTTGACATTCTTGGAAGCCAAAGGAGTGGTGTTTGATGATGTTCTACTCGGAGTTTGAGATACAACAGAGTCATCTCCTACTTGATTTGAATTTTTTTCGCAAGAAGAAAAAAGTGATTCTTTCAGTTACCCAATATTTCCAAAAAATCCACATCACTAATTTTGTTGAACATTATACTAACATAGAAAGAATGATATTTCTGGTTTCTTCTCAGCAAATTCATCTCCAACAATTGTTTTGTATATCCACCAATAGAAACAACAACAACAACAACAACAACAACAACAACAACAACAGAGCCTTATCCCACTAAGTGGGGCCGGCTGTATGAATCTTAGAACAACAACAACAACACATCACCAATAGAAACGATCGAAAATTTTGAAACATGGAAAGTGAAGAACAAATCGTTTTGGCCGCAGAAAAAGCAGAGAATGAACCTTAAATACACTTCACGGATATCAGAACCGTATTCAAGAAGTACACTTACTTTCATGAGACAGAATACTTACGACTTCTAAAGCACACACGAAAAAGGAATCCACAATCAACTCTAACATGAAAATCCTATGATGTTTTATCAAAAAAGTATCCACCTTTATACATACATTCTCCCCATTCACAAACTTCACCAAATGCGTCAAGTCCATTCACCTCGTTAGAAAATGCGACAAATGACAAAAACTTCGTTTCTTAAAAAAAAAAATTTTTTAAAAAATGCAAGAAAGCCCAAAATTTTCCCTGCCATTGTGTCATTCATTTCCAGGAGATCCAAATGATCCCCAAAAAAATTAATATGGTAATTAAAATAAAAAAGTTCAAAAACTGCAAAATGCATCTAAAGGCAGCAAGCAACATTATATGCAAAATTTAATGAGGATCCATTTTCCATGCTTTTCTTACAGAATTAAATGTGAAATTAAATTGTATGCTGCAATAAATAATACCTTGAGGACTGGCGTGTGTATAACTGGAATGCTGGTCCTTTTCAGAACTGAAACAAATCCCCATGAATCTGAAAACCAAGCCCGTGTCCGCACCCGAACCCAGTTTTACATGTCAACCCGTTCCCTTCCTCCAACTATTACCATCGACAACTGAAAAGCTTCAATGACCCACATACATATCTAATGCGGGTTCATCTATCAATTGTCAATGTGGGGTTGGAATTCGGGTCGGGATTGGATCTGGGTCGGAGCAAAAGTATGAACTTTCCGATGTGGGTTCGCCGGGAAACGAAGATAAATTTTGTGCCCTTCTTTTTTTGTAGTGTTTTGGTTTGTTCTTGGGCCACCAGAAAGCCGCTCAAAGGTTGAAGAAAGGAGAAGATAAATATAGGCAGGAGAGAGAAAGCGGTGAAAAAGGGGAGAGAGAGAGGGGGGGTGGTAAGTTATTTTTTGAAGAGAGAGAAAGATTTGGTCCTTACTTGTCAAGCTTGGAGGGCATTGGGGCGAAGAAAGCGCCAAACCAGACGTACTCCGAATTGGTTCAATCTCCAAAAACAATGGCTTTTCTGGTCGGTCTGTCTCCTTTCCTTTCTCAGAATTCTCTCCTTCTCTGGCTCTCTCTCTCTCTCTCTTTCTCTCCAAATCTTAAATCCGAGTTGGGTTTTTTGATCAATCGAAATTCAAAGATGGATTGTGTGTTTTTTTCTTTTGGGTTATTCACTTATTTGTTTGAGCCCAATTCATTGAACCACTGCAATGTTCTGTCACCTTTGTTTTGTGTTTTGCCAAGTCTTCTTAGACAACAGCTAACCAGTCTCGTTGAATTGACCCAAAAAAACTAAATTGAAAAGCACTAAACATCTATTTTTGGTGCGGAGAAAATGTACTAATCTTTGTTTTTATGATACGATAGAGGCGGTATCTTAATCATTATATTAATCACCAGATAATGAAAATGTCATGACAATTCACCTTTTGATTTGGTATAAAATGTGAAGCGTAAATTGATTAATATTTTAATCTTAAACATTGATTAACAAATCCAACAATATAAGATTTTGAATCGTTAACCACCAAATGACTAAGAAAATGGAACTGCAAGACGCACCCACACCCGCACCCACACCCACTTAGGATGAGCCTACAAAAATCTGCAAGAAAGAATGTTTCTCTCATTGAAGGCTTCGAGTCTAAAGCCTAAACCAGATTACCAAAAGTTTTCCCGGAAAGAATCCGACAAGGTACTATGTCACTTTCTTGTTCTTTTGGCGTCAAGTATTTGTTTCGCATATTCCTCTTGCCTGTTTGCTTTAGTCCACTTAGGTATGACGTGTCCTTGTTTTTATGGGTTGTAAAATCAATCATATGATTAATGATTAAAGGACATTTGAAGAAAATCCTCAACTACTAACATAAATAAAAGAAAGTGTAATATTCTAACATTTATGCTACTAATCTTTTTTCTTAAATAAATAGTTAGTACTTTTGTTACGATAGTCCATCATTTCGAAGGTCAGAAAGACTCGTATAAATATTTTAGTTTTTTTTTTTTTGCCACCATGCGATTCACTAACGCCAAGTCGAACCCCAAGTTGTTCTATGTGGAATACGAGCTTGAAATTCTCTAATTGCTCAAACAATCTACCTACTATTTATTACACTAGTCACTTATAAAAGAAGAAACTATATTTTCTACCAAGTTTTAACAAAATTTACTAATTAATGCATAATGCATAAGCAGTCAGGTCGCGAGTGCGACAGATCCTTGCCATAAATATTGAATCATTGATTTTTGACCAGCAAAAAATAACGCGTTTAGCACGCAACAAAGGCACCCTATGAAGATTTTGACACCCCACCAATGAATTTATGGGCCAATGAATTTATGGAAGGGCCAAACCCGACCCATATACCCAAAACCCATTTACCAAATCATCACTGACGAGTGAAGACGGGTAGCGAGTTGAGAATTCTGATTTTTCAGCCTCCCTCGTCCTCCCACTCAGAAAGCTTCCATCTTGCAAAAATGGCCGACGAAGCCAACCGAGCCGTAAGTCCCCTCTTTCTCTCGATCTCTTTCGATTTTCAACTGTATCTTGCTCGCTTCTACTTACCAGAACAATCAAATTTTTACAGGCGTTCATGGAGATTCAAGGCCGCATGATTGAGCTTACTGCGAAATTGAAGCAGGTTTTTTTTTATCCATATTATTTTTTAATTAATAAATCATAAACAGATGGTGAAAATTGAACTTATTGGTTGAGAATTGAGGTGGGTTTCAGGTGCAGACGCAGATGCGGAACAAGGAAGGAGAAAAGAAGCGTGCTTTTCTGACCCTGGAGGAGCTGCGGCCTTTATCTGATGATTCAAATACTTACAAATCTATAGGTACTTCATTTCAATTAACCCATTTTCTCAGTTCTCAGTCTTACTTTGGGGAAAAAAAGTTGATCCAGTTCTTTTGGGTTCTGATATTTAAATTTGATAGTGCTTTTAGGGTTTAAATTTGATGAATTTTGTTGGGTTTAATCTGTTTTGCAGGGAGAACGTGAGTTTCGTTGCCGGTTTTAAACATAAAATTAGATGGAGTAGTTCAGGTCTTGTTGTTGATGGGTGCTCTCTGATATACTCTCTGATGATACATTCTGTTACTTTATGGTGGGCAGGTTTGTTTTAGAGCCAAAGTCGGTGTTAGTGAATGAACACGAACAAAAGCTCAAGGATAGTGAGAGTGCAATAGCCTCGCTCCAGGTATATCTTTGCTTTCATTTGAATAATGATGGCCCCTTTTCTTCCTTTATGGTGTGTTTGCGCCTTTTGTTTTTTTTCGTTTGGTGAGAGAGAAAAGTTCAATTAACCTTTTAGAGAATGCCAGTGTTTAGGTATCAATAAATTAGACCCCGTTCAAACATTAACCCAGAGTACACAAGAATTATATTACAAAGTTCCAGATACAAATCACAATATTCAACTCGAAACCTTTGGTAACAATTGCTAGTATATAAGCTAAATCCAAAAGCTCAACCTAAAACAAACTTTTAGTTATCCATTGACCAATAATCAGAGCTGGACTGTTGTACAAATCAATATCCAATACAGAGATGCCATTTGGCATCCTAACGCAATAGAATCAGTACTTGATCAAATTTGTTTTCATTATAAAATATGAAATTTGCCATCATATGTATATGAACTTGAAGGACTTGCGTCACCTCATTGGTAGTCCCAATTTACGAACTTATTTTACCTTGCAGAGTTTTCTACATTGTGCACGTCTTTCTTGAAAACTTCTTTATGCATTACCCTTACCCCACATACAATTTGTCCTCCTTATGTAAAGGCAGATAACGACATCCATTTTGTGCAAAGGTTCATCGTATTGTTAATTTTTCTTTTGCTCAAATGGCCACGAGTAAATGTGGTGCAGTTCTGATTGTGCTATTTCAGTTCTGTTAAGATTGAAAGATACAGTAGTTTATGATTTTATGCATGCCAAGTTGATAATATCCCATAATCCTGAATGTCTAATTTCTCGTAACTTTCGTTTTATGCTGTTACTTAGTTTCAGATTCAGTTCAGTCTGTCTAAAAAGTTGAAACATGAGTAAGTAAAATGCTTTAAAATATTTGGTATGAAGCTCTGACCATCTTTATAGGGCGCTTTATTATTACTCATGACAGCTAATAGAACACGGAGGCAATAACTAGGAAAGAATGAGAATGTTATTCTAATTAGTGTGTCATTTTACGAAAATTTGTCAATGGCTAAGACGTGGGTCATCTCCTGGGAGGCTTTGTTGTTTTCAGAAGGTGAAGATTAAGCAATGAGCCTTTGTTGTTTTTAGAAGGTGAAAAATTAAGCAAGTTTTCCTGAAGAAGATGTAGTGACTTGTTGGTTGACATTTAGCTAGCGAACAACAACCCTGCTGGAGTAATAGTATAAACGAGTGTACAAATTTTTCTTATCACGTTCATGAATTACGGTATGGATGATCCCAACTTGTGCATTTCTTTGTTTGCCGAAAACATTTTCTTTTGGAAGGCGCAAAAGAGCAAGAACATGGAAGCTATTGAATGGGAGGCACAGAAAGAAAAAAACAAATGATTATTGAAAGTTATAGGGGAGAGGAAGCGCAGGGTTTGTGGGGATAAGTGTGTTACTGGGATTGTCATAGGCTTCAATTTCTTTTGTATTTCAGGATTTCTATCTTTCTATTTGTGCAGATTAGAAGTTTGCATACTCTTTTCTTGTTGTTACTCATCTTCTGGACTTTTTTTGGAATTAAATTGTTTCTTTCCTGCTCTGGACAGACTTCAAAGGAATATATCGAGAAACAGGTTGCAGAAGTGGAGAGCAACTTGAGGGAGCTATTGAACCAAGATCCCGGTCTTGCTCGCCAGATAATGTCCATGACTGTAATGTAACTTTTAAATTCGTGAAACTTTTCTGCAGTTATTCTGTTTTCCATTCGGAACAAAACAAGAAATTTGTAGTATTTATTTGTTTTCCTCTCAACTTGCCTCCTTTTCATTACATAAACGTAGCGTTTTCATATATCGTCATGGATGATAGGCGACATTTGATAGATGAAGCAACTTATGCAAGTTCTTTCTATTTACATGAGCAAGTTAACAAATTTTGAAAGTGTGTTGCCTGCCATGTACGCTGATTATCTACCTGATAGCAGTCAGCCTCCTATGATCGAGCATCGCATGTGAAATTGGAGCACATTTTTGCTCGTATATAAATGAAGGTCGACGGTCCCGTGGTGCAAAAAGTCGGAATTGAAAATTCTCTGCCAAAACTTGTTCATAGTCGAGATCGAACTTCCAAGGAAAAACAGAAAGACGAACATTTATCTTAGTTTCATGTTATGCGCCCTCCAAATTTAATCCTTGTCCCACGGATAACATTTATCGTAGTTTTTGTTGTCTTGGTTGCACCTGCACGGGCCTAAAGTTCTGATCATCCATGTACAATGCCTGCAATCATCCCTTTTGTGTACGAAAATGTCGAACCGGCGAAATTGGTCACTCCATCGAAAGCTGCAATAGAATCGTGTTGTCCTCCAATAGTTAGGCCTGAAACGAAACTCGAAGCTGCCTCCGGGGCGAAGAGAGTGCAAGCCTAGATCATCGTTCTTGGATCTACAACGAATGTTAAGATCTGTCCGCGGACCCAAACCGTTGATTATTTTAACATCCGTTGGAACCCAGAAAGTAGCACCCTCACAGATTGTGGGGAATGCGAAAATCAACAAAATTGTCAGTGTCTTCATATCTGTGTATTTTGGATGTGCGAGAGAAGCATTGAGTTTGAGGGATGCCTAAAAATTTATGTATAAAAGGAAATACAGGGCTGGATTATCTAAAAATGCTTTGAAGGTACCATTAATCCATTAATAGCTAAAGTAACATATGGCTATGGGAACAATTGTTCTTCCTGTACATGGTTGATACCATGCCGTTTAGACAAGTTATTTTAAGAAGAAATTCTGAGAATGGACATTAACTCACTACGTTATGGGTTAAAATCATCTATACAAAATATAAAAAATCGACAAAATATAAATAGTCAAATTCAAAAGGACTTTATAATTACTAAAAATCTTTGGAAGCACTACTATAAGCAACCAAACCTCATAAGAACATCTCTGAAAGTCTATAAATTTTGTTACTTTAGTGAACAATGCCAAACTATCTTTCTCATTACAATGCCAAACTTGTAGGCCTATTTAACTGAAGAATTGTACAGAGAGAGGAAAATGGACGGCAAACAGAGAGAAAAGAGAAATAGGTGAATTATGTGGTTGTGTTTTCTCACCTCATTGTGTCTTTATTTATAGTAATAGGGAAGGTAAATTCCTTACCCTATAGGTATTATAACTGAAATAGGACACTATCTAAAATATACTAAAGAATCTCAGTAGGATTTACACAAATACATCCCTACTAAATTAGGACTGTAACACTCCCCCTTGAGTGTGCAAATATTGAAGCAAAACGTCGCATCATGTCTTCTGTGGTGAAGTAAGTTCAATCAATGGAGTTGTTGGCACAATGAGCAAATGCGAGTCTCAAATTAATGGAAGAATGCATTGGTAGTAATACTCACAAAACCTCGCTATGGTAAAACCTAATATGGGAGATAGCTCATAGTCTAAGGAGACAAGTAATTACAATAAGTCAAAACTACACTCTTCTGGACGCAATTAGAAAGCTCACAAGGATATGACCAGCCCAAGGTGGGTGTCTCATTAAAATCTAGTTAGGTAGCAAAAACCCAATGAGAAAATTACTCCTAATCATAGGAAAAAAAGAGTAAAAGAAAGGCGGTAGACTTGTAAGAAAGTTGACCACATAAGGGGAGTGAACCGAAAAGCTTAGCTTTAAAGAGATTAAAATTTTACTTTTTCCCCAATTATCATCTGGGGACATGTTCCCTCTTCAACTTAGGGCTTTATAGGTAGGCATTTTTATTGAGAATTAAGGTAACCATCTTTTAAAAAAGTAGCTGAGCTCTCACAAATAGAACATAAAGATTCAGTGAGTATACTTATGGATACTTTCCTTGAGTTTGACAAAACTTCCAAACAAGAACCATAAGCATTGCAAATCTTTTAGATGTTTTCTATTTCTTCGGTCTCTAGTTTTCGTTACTACGTCGTGTTTACGAATGACTACTCAATAATCATGGATTTATCCCATGTGTTCATAAATCCCAAGTTTGTACTCATTTACTAACTTTGTGGCATATGTTGAAAATCACTTTTCCACTTCTATTAAACAACTTCAAGTGATGGGGGCAATGATATAACAACTTGGCATTTAAACAATTTTGTACTAGCCAAGGAATCATCCATCGGTTTGTGTCCTCATACACCCCAACAAATGGGGACACATAGCTAACATGGGATGCACCCTTGTTCTCACGACTCATTTACCTCACAACTTATGGGTTAAAGCATTTTGTGCGGCCGTTTACTTATTTAATTAACTTCCGACTCCGGTTCTACCAGGGAATTCTCCTTATCATGCATTGTTTGCGAGACATCCCGATCATCTATTATTCGGACCTCTAGTTGTACTTGTTATCCTTTTATTGGTGATTATGTTTCATATAAATTAGAACCTCGCTCTCTTGCTTGTGTTTTTATTGGTTGCAGTGAACAATGCCCTGCATATCGGCACCTTCACCCGTTATGTTATTTTTCATTCGGATCAATTGCCAATTCATCTACATTCGCAAACCCAGGCACCAACCAGTTTTTCTTCCCTTTCATAGACCTCTCTCTGCTGAACCTGCTCTTTTTTTAGCCCCCCACAGATGTCATATGTGCAACCTACTCCAACACGCTAGCTCTCTCTGCTGGGACTGTTCATTCTAATACTGACAGCGCTGCATATATCCCTGGGCCACCAACAGTCGTTGCTCTCCCAAATATCGATGGGTCGACAACTAATCCAAATATATTGTCTCCATGACCCGTGTCCTCTTCCATTCTAGCAGTCTCCCATGCACCGGCTCCTCTATCTTCGTCCGATAGTGGGCCTTCTCCACCTGGCCCAGATTCATTACCCCCCCGTTAATCCAGCACATGTAAATACCAGTCTAATCTACACGATCTAAATCAGGCATTTTCAAGCCAAAAATTTAGCCCAATGTTTCAGTACGGTATCCATTTCCTTTCTGGTTTTGCTGCATTGCTCAAAGTGATGTTGAACCTACATGTTATATGAAAGCTTCTCGTTCTCTCGAATGGAAGTAAGCTATGATTGATGAATTTAATGCTCTTCTTAGACATGGTATTTGGTTTTTGGTTCCCGATTCCCCTAATTTTAATACAGTTGGATGGAAATTCATATTTAAGGTAAAACGCCGCTTCGATGGCTCTATTGAGAGTCATAAAGCCTACTTGGTTGTAAAAAGGCTTCACCAACAACCCGAAATTACTATTTCGATACCTTTAGTCCTATTGTAAAACCCACCACCATTTGAACGGTCCTTAGTATTGCCATTTCTTCAAGTTAGGCTCTTCGGCAACTAAATGTCAAAAACGCTTTCCTCTATGGCACACTATCTAAAGAAGTTTACATAAAACAACTCCCTAGTTTCATTGATCCTAGTCGACCCCACCATGTATGCAAACTTTACAAGGCCATCTATGGCCTGAAGCAGACACCTCGAGTGTGGTTTCAATGTTTTAGCTCTTTTTTACTTTGGGTTGGATTTGGTCAAACTCAAGCAAATAAATCAATGTTTATTTATAAGGACACCTCTCATATGATGATTTTATTCCTCTATGTGGACGATATAGTGCTTACAAGAAGCAATCCTTGTTATTTACTTTCTTTTATACGAAGTTTGGGTGTTGAGTTTGAAACCCCAATTTTGGTAAATTGCATTACTTCTAGGAGTTGAAGTCTCTTACATGGTACATCTCACTCAAAACAATATACTCTCGACCTTCTCAAATGTAGTAATCTCTTGGAATACAAACTTGTCTCGACACTGATGGTTTCAAAGGTTCTCCCTCCCGTACTTATGGTTTTCTTCTTCCCGATCCTACATCCTATCGTCAACTTGTTGGTGCTTTACAATACCTAACACTCACTCGACCTAATATTGCCTACGCAATACAACATGTATCCCAGTTCATGAGTGCTCTAACTAATGTTTATTTTGAGGTAGTCAAGCACATACTTCGTTATTTGAAAAGCACTTGGCCATGGTCTACCACTTCGTCGCTTCCCAGCTTCTACTCTTCTTGTAGCCTATTCAGATGCGGATTAGGCAGGTTGTCTTAATACTCGCCTGTCTACAATTGGTTATTGTGTATTTTTGGGTCTTAATCTCATCTCTTGGAAAAAGCAACGAGCGGATTTCTCATTCAAGTGCAGAAGCAGAAGATCGTGCATTTGCTTATGCTTGTGCGGATACTATCTCGACTTAAGGACTCATACATGCTCTTCATTTTCCGACATCCCAATGCATCTTAATTGTGATAATATTTTGGCAACTTACATGGCTTTCAATCCTATATTCCATGCAGGTACCAAACATATTACACTCGATTATCATTTTGTTCGACAATGTGTTGCCTCCGGAACTAACAAAGCTCAATTTATTTCTTCTATTAATTAGCTCATTTTACCTTTCACATACCTCTTTCAAAATTTAACTACTAGATTGATTGAAATAAAAAAATAAAAAAATAAACTAATGAAAATGACTTCAAAACTTTGAATCTTAATAATAATAAAAAAAAAAATCAGGTAATAAGTTTATTTAAAGGAAAACTAATGAAAAGGGCTTGAAAAATTTTAGTTTTAGTAAAAAACCATGTTATAAATTTTGTTTAATGATTAGTACTAGGCCCTATTGACCCTAAAAACTACCAAGCCTACGTGGCGTGTAGGCCGAATAACCAATAAGCTAACTACATCATTCGGTCGTATGCGGGGCGTGCTAACTCATCAGTCGAGCTCAACCGAGGAGTAAAATGAGTTGATCTC